TCCTGATGACATGATGCACAGTAATATGTGTTTAATACACTGTTAATGTTCTGATTTGATGACAGATTTCACCAGGTGCAGGACAGACACATTTCTGAAATTCTGATGCAGATTACCATGATTAATGACACAATGCACTTTATTATTTAAGCTTTAATCAGCCTGAAAACATAGCAGAATGCAAAACGTGGACAATCTGAGCTGAGCTACCACTCCATCCCTTTTAGCAGGGTGAAGGCACATCTCTTGTGTTATTAATCAGATTTCAGGTTCATCGTGACTTGCTGAACACAGAAATGCATTATTAAAGTCCATTTGTCAATTTTATGGTCAAGGTCAGTTTTGGGATTTTTATGGTCATTCCATTGTATAATTCTATCACATGTTTGCTACACATTTTACTTTTGTATCTTCCCTCATTTCAAACACCACGAAGTCAAAAGCTACTATTTCCACGCAGAAAGAGTCAAAATTGTGTGAGTGCACGATAAATATTTCCATGTACAGCCAAACATTCCAACTTTTAAAACAGAAACTGTTCAAACTTAACCCACTCTGTCTCTGTACAGCAGCTGCACATTCAGTCAGATTAAACTATTTAAAGGACTCAGGTTAGAGCAAATAAACATTTCTATTCTCCACAATATACAGGTCCGTATTATTTGTTTTTATATTTAAAAAGTTTAACTATACTTTGTTTACATTATATAGTTTCCCTTACGCAGTATGATTGGGAGGCATGTCATATTTTCATTGCTATGCAGATGTAACCCATCTTTATCTATCCATAGCACTAGATGGCAAAAACAATTAATTAACTGAAGGAATGCCTTAAAGACATAAAGACATGGATGACCTTGAATTTCTTGGTTCTGAATTGAGATGAAACAGATCTGGCACAATGTCTCAACTTCATTGGAATTGAGGTTGTGCCATGGTTATCAGCCATAAGAACAAATTCAGATTTATATTGATGTAAGGTATATAAATGTAAGTACAGTTTGAATCAGTGCAATATTATTTTCACACATCAATGGACCACTGAACTTCTCAGCTTCTAAAATGTAAAGCCTCATTTAGAAACTACACAAGTACATATAATGGTCAGGGATCAACATGAACCTGTCTTCTCTATTTGACTCTAATCAACTCTGCAGTGTCTCCATCAGAGTGACAAAACCGAATTCCAGCATAGAGCGGCTGAGTGAATGTGGTCTGGACTCTGTGGAGGAGAGTCATGGTTTCAGAGACGCTGTAGAAAGACAGAATACCTGCTCTGTGATCCAGGTACACTCCTACTCTGGAGGACCGAGGACCTGAGAGGACAGTTTGGACTTTGTTGTGCCAAAATTTATAACTGTTTGTGTCACAACGTAATGCCCAAGATTTGTCATTGTATCCAAGAAAACATTCATTTAGGCCCGTTTTTCTGCTGATATTCTTCAATGTGACTGCTACACAAACTCCTCTCCCTCTCCACTCCACCTCCCAGTAACAACATTCAGTCAGAGTCTGTCTACTCAAAACCTGATAACAT